TATATATATATATATATATATATGGTCAGTCCAATGGTAAAATATAAAATGCGTCGCAACAAAGTCTATATACTAAAAATTCGATAAATGATCAATTAATTACTGAATCTATTGACGCTCAAACATTAATATTAACGATAAGCAGTCTATTGCAATGAATGATATCCCTTGTAGTTATATAGTAACATTATAAAATATAAATGTAGCATAATTTTAATGCTTGCGATAAATGACCTTTGGATCGTAGCGTGTTCCGGGCCGGGTTATAGGAGCCCGAAGGTGGCAATGCTCGAAGGACCGTGCGAGAAACTTTTGTACGTCATTGGCATACACACGAATCCTGAAAAGGCCGATGTCCTCTGTACGGTGGATGTGGATCCCGACAGTCCAACGTATTGTCAGGTATCGTCTTCATGTTAAAACGTTTGCTGATTATCGTAGAATAATTATTAATAATTGTAAGCTACAACATAAATTTAAACACGAGGTTTGGAAATGCAGATAATACACAAATTGAGAATGCTAACGGCCGGCGACGAGTTACATCACTCTGGCTGGAATATTTGTAGCAGCTGTCACGGATTGTCCGGTCGTAAGCGCGATACGCTGGTATTGCCATGTCTTATGTCGGACCGAGTGTATCTGATTGATACGAGCAATGAGAAAATGCCCAGAATTAAAAAGGTATCATATGAATATAAAAGTATACCTCATATATATGACGACATGCGTCTAATTTCTCTCTTTCTATACGCGTTTATATGTATATGTATATGTGTGTATGTATGTACATAATATGCAGACGAAATATATAAAATTCGATACAAAAGACATTGTATATCTTGCCAAAATAATTCTTATGATCACAAGGTTTTGGAACCAGAAGAGATGCACAAATATGGGATATCCACACCGCATACTTCTCATTGTCTGCCAAACGGAGAGATAATCATCTCCACCATGGGAAATCTTAATGGTGACGGACTGGGTGAATTTTTCTGCATTGATGCAGAGACCCTACGAACGAGAGGTACATGGACCAAGAGCCAAGAAAAAGCAGCTTTCGGATATGATTTTTGGTACCAACCGTATCACGATACACTCATCGCTACAGAATGGGGTGCACCTAGAGTTTTTAAGAAGGGATACATCCCGAAGGATATTCATGACCCCAGTAAATATATACTTATCGAAGAATAAATTAATTTTATATAATGGGGAAATGCGAAATATCGAGATATGCAGTCATGCAGTCGAATCATCAAATGATTGATGATAATTTGCAGAGATCTATGGCAGAAGTTTGAACGTTTACTCGTGGAACGAACGGAAGCTAAAACAGACCATTAATTTGGGAGATGAGGGAATTGCACCTCTTGAAATAAGGTTCCTTCATAATCCGTTGGCAGCCGAAGGATTCGTCGGCTGCGCGGTAACGTCGAATATTTATCGATTTTATAAAGCGAAGGATAATTCGTGGAAGGTCGAAAAGGTGATTCAGGTACCACCGAAAAAAGTCGAGGGATGGATCACGCCTCTGATGTCAGGTCCGTATTACGAATCGCTTCTTTTCGTTCAAAATTTGAACGAAGTCTGTGATATCTAAAATTATTGCCAGTAGAGATATTGAACCTGTTGTTCAACATCGCAGGCTTTTTTTGTTGTCTTCTCTCCCCCCCCCCCCATAAATTTCCGTTATTCCTTCTTCGTTACCGCTTCTTAGGTATGATCACCGATATTCTGCTGAGTCTAGATGACAAATATCTATATCTGTCTAATTGGTTGCATGGCGACATTAGACAATATGACATTTCCGATACGAGAAATCCGAAATTAACGGGTCAAGTCTTCTTAGGAGGCTCAATATTGAGCGATTCGCAGGTACGTGTGATACAGGACGAAGAAATGAGCAGTCAGCCCGACCCCGTCTACGTGAAGGGACGTAGATTGTATGGTGCACCGCAAATGTTGCAACTAAGTTTGGATGGACGTCGTTTATATGTAACTACGTCGATTTTTAAACCATGGGACAAACAGTTTTATCCCGAGCTCCTCAAGTAAGTACATTTTTCTTCCTTTTCTTTCTAAAATACAGAACAATGTTTATAATCTGTATTCTTATGTATATGCTGTAATAATATTGGCGTTATTTAGATATGGATCAACGATGGTAAAACTTGATATCGATGTAGAAAAGGGCGGAATGAAGCTCGATTGTCAATTTCTCGTTGATTTCGGCGCTGATAAAAGCGATATTTTACTGGCACACGAGATGAGGTAAGAGACATCCCGTAACTTAGACCTCTATAAAATCAAATCTATAAAATCAAATCAAATCATTTTTTTATAATTTTTTCAATTTTCTAAAGAAATGAAAATGAATTGAAAGAAATTAATCTCTGTCGAAATTTATATCTTGTCAAAAGATAAGAACTCGGAATCTCTCCAGCTTTTTTTTTACTTTTTATTTCGATTTTAATTTCGACGAGATTGAACATGTTTGGTTCAATCTCGTAAATCAAATGCTTGTCAATTTCTGTCAAATTGTTGTCAATTTCTGTCAATTTCTGTCAAATTATTGTCAATTTCTTTTAATTTCTTTTAATTAATTTCTCTCTTAAGTAGAAAGGATGTCATTCCTTATCTCTTGTAACAATTTTAACATGTTAATCTTTACGTAGATATCCTGGTGGAGATTGCACCTCCGATATATGGCTGGCAGAGAAACCTTAACTTTAATGATTAGATTGGAAGAGTAGAGTCAAAGGCATTTCAACATCTGTGAAAGTAATAATAATGCAGTAGCTTATATTATAGTATCATAGTTTCGCACGATTTTTCTCCGATGGAATCTCTCGGATTTTTATCGTGTAAAAAATTATTCAGAAATGTTCTTTCGATAAGGATAAGAAATATGGGTACAGAGGTAAAGTAATAAAGAATACTCACAGTATACTTTCGTTTGTTTCCATGGTATGGTGCTTATTAATTCCAGCATATTGCATCAAGTAATATAGTAGAGATTTTACATTGTATGAAATTAATGGTGTTACATGGTAGGTAATGAGTTTTTTCTCCGAATTTACACAAATTAAATCCGTCTATGCCAAAATTGTAATTTGTTCGTTGTGTAAAATTTATCGAAATGTTCTGTGTTAGAAATAATTCAAAAGTGTATAGCCATAAAATTTCATTGCTCTTCTACATAAAGGATCGCGTTGGCCGATTTTATTTTTGTTTCCGTAACAAAATTTCGTATCATCTACAATACCTAATGACTAACGTAAAATTAAATTTGCACAATTATCTTATAGAATTTCAAAATTCGTGATAAATGTTTGAGAAGAAACGAGTTCTCGTCATTTTACTTCTGCAATATGTGAGAAAATACTTACGCGACAGTATTACTTAAATATTAAAAAATGATTGGGCGAAATATGCGACGCCAGAGAATAGCGAGGACATATCGAATGTCAATGTTGGTTACGAAGCTGATGAATTTCTTCTTTCGCCCGGATTGTCCGATGTTAACGCCATGTTAGAAAAACTCAAACCGAGAATTCAAAAATCGATGCGGCAAACTTTAAAAGCTACACGTGTACTCACTACAGAAATAATTTTGTTAATTTTGTCCCGTTAATCGGCAATAAGTTGCGAGATTAAACGCACGAAATCATTAATTTTTTTAAATACGCACGCATGCACGCGCATCTAAATGTGTATATACGCGCCGAGTTTGTTTAATTGCATATAGCCCAATAATATCAAACTTGTTTTGATCTCTGTTAAACTGAGTCTTTTCTTTTTTTTTTTTCATCTCGGTCGAAACATAATGTTGCAATGGGGCATGTGTCATCTACATAATCTCGGATTCTAAATTAATTCTCAAGTGTGCTCGCGCGTATACACCGTACGTATATCTAGAGTTACATCGGTGCAAATATCGATTCAGATATCGATTAAAATGTCAGGTATGTATTCTTTTCCTGACATGATGGCATTACACGACGGCAAGTTCGTGCAACTCGTATTAGCCATCATACGGTAAATGTTGACAGCGCGACTGTTTATCGCAATTACCGTTACCGAAATACTTTTCATCATCTTCATTATCTTCGTCATCGTCATCGTCGTCATCATCGGACTTGCCATCAATATCGTCAGCCGAACTTCTCGCGACTACACCGTTAGCGTAAGAATATATGGCCGATTCTACATTTCTCCCAAAAATTCGTGGCTCTTCCAAAAAAATATTACTACTTGTCCGCATTCAGTCGTTGTATATCCTCATTCTT